TCCTGCAACAAGCAGAGCCTGAGGAAGCAGAGGCACCCCAGGTCTCCTGTCCTGTCCCTCCCTAGCTGTGGCTCTGCTGCTGGAATGAGGCTGCTTGCTCAGGCTCCTCGCTGGCTCATCTTGTCATTCAGAGACCTGGGTTCCTATCCTGACCTCTATTTCTGAGGTGCTGAGCAATGATCCTCAGGAATCCTCACTGTGCTTCCCTTGACAAATGTTTTTTTGGGCAAGGCTCTTTGGGGCTCATTGTACGTCAACCCCAGCGGAAACTTCATCAGGGTTGAAAATTTTAGGACACCTCCTCTGTGAAAATGTACCCAGGACAGAAGGGTCTGGCTTTTTATCTGTGATGTTCACCCTTCATGGCTGGACTCAAAGCACAGTTTCACTGCATGGGCTGCACTTTCAATAATCATGTCCTTGGAAATGGATAAAACATTAAACATATTTCACAGTTAACAGATTTATCATCCAACATCCAAAGAACAGTACTGGGGGCAAACTTCAACCCCCTCCACCCCGAGCTTTGTTGGAAAGGATGACAGCTGATAGTGCTCTGAGAGGATTTGTGCTGCCACCAGCAAAGCCTGAACAGCTGTGAGGTCATCCAAAAGCATCCGACATTCTGACTTTGCCATCAAAAAGGGATTATGGTGGCAATATCATGGAATCCTAGAATGGTTGGCATTGGAAGGGACCTTAAAGTTCCAAACCACCCCCTTGCTGGGCAGGGACACTGCTGTGCAGTGGTGTGGACACTGGAAATAAATTGTTTTCTGATGTTTCATCTGGCTCCTCCATAACTATTTAGTAGCATGAAAAAAACATGGTTAGCAGGGGTTCCAGCTAAAGTATTTTGTCTCTCTCTAACTAAGGAAGGGAAGCAAATGTGGCCTTAAATAAAAGGATTTACTATGTGGGAGAAATTGTGAAAAAGGTTTCACAGAGATGGGGCTGGGCAGGCCAGTGCGGAGCGGGCAAGAAATAAAGGATCAAATCCACCTGTTTCCATTGGAGAAAGGGCAAAAAAGCAGGGCAGGTTTTGTGGGGAGTTGCTGTCCTACCACAAAAGTACTTGAGAACATTTCCAAGGGGCTTCAAGGAAATTGTCTGGCAGTGGACGACTTAGCTAGAACATGGAAAAGGTGAAAAACATGTCAGTTTGTGGCAATAAATGCATAATCTTTTCCTTTCTATTACAAACTGTATTTTCAGAGAATGCTCCCAAAATGAACAGGTCAAAAACTGAACCAAAATGAAGGCAACAAGTCATTGATGACAACTCCATGATTTGAAATGGGTTAGCAGCTGCTAACTCCCTGCCTTCCTCCTAAATATCCCAAAATATAAGCACTGAAGGGACCTGAAGCGGGGGTTCAACAGGACCACATGGTCTTTGCAGTTTTGTCCCAGGGGCAGGACAGCCCAACGGAGTCACAGCGCCAGGCTTGAGGCCATCCTGAATTTTGTCCAGCAAGAGCCTGCCAAATCCCATGAGGACACCTCATCCCTGCTCCATGAAATCACTGCAGTGTGACCTCGGGAAGACAGCTCTCACACCACCCGTTGTGTCTGGGAGAAGCAGCTGTGGAGAGGCACTCCGCTCTTGGGAAGCCTCCACGTCACCGATGGAGTTGTGGGATGCAGCAGCTTCGGTCGTGGCTTTCTGTTGGGTCTTCCCAATCCTGCCACCCCAGCCTGCACCCCACTAACACAAAGCAAAACAGTGAGTCCCATTTGCTCCTGCTGGCTCCCTCAGCAGCAGCACTGAGGATGCGGTGCAGGGGAAAACCGCGAGGTCACCACTGGCCCTTTGGGCTGCTCCACCCTCAGGGTGCTTGGCAGCACCACCATCAAGGGATAGGCTTCTGCCAGATGAACCACGGGCCCAGAAAATATCTGGTGGCCTTGAGAGGTTTTTGTATGCTTGAAAACAGGTGATGTTTTGTTCCTTACTCCGGCAGTGGTGCATATAATCCTCCATGTGAGGCTGGTGATCTGCCAGTAAGGGGCACAACCATTGCAAGAAATAAAGCAGAAATTAATTTATTTTATGCATTTCAAGGGGAGAAAAAGGATCACGTGGACACACTGGGGTTGGTCTTCTGCTTGGTTTTGCAGTGTTGCAGGACTGGGAGTTGGCTGAAGAGCACTGCTCCCTCTCTGGGACAAACTGTTGTGCTGTTGCAAGTGGGCTTGTGAGCACAGGTTTAATTTTCCCTCAGAAACCAACTGGGTAAAGGTTCAAGAAAAAACATTCAGAAATGTAATGAATAAGGAGAAAAAAAAAGTCATCTCTCTGGAGGGGACATTGTTGGGAAGAGAGTTTTTGCAAAGCTGGGGCTGCTGCAGAAGCCTGGGCATGATCCCAGCACATGGGAGGGAAGGGCTGCTGAACAAACAGAGCATTGAATGATGCCAGTAGGTCTTTCCTGTGCATTTCTGCTCCTTGTTTGCCTCAGGGATTAATGTGTGTGTGTTAATAAACTCAGTAGCATTTAGAAGGAAGCCTAGATTTTGTTTCATTCTTGATTTTTTCTCTTTGTATTTGATAGCACATGGTTAATACAGAATTGCAGGTAAAAGAAGTAGATACAGAGGTAGCTAAGTAAGTATTCAGCCAAATTATTTTTGTGATACGTGGGGATAGGAGACAGACATTTTTACATGTCAGATAAATTTGCTGTTCTGATTTGTGGTTTAATCACCTCACAACTAGGGGTTAACCCTTCTCTTTCACCTTAAGCCTCTGCTGCAGTTCAGTTCCATGAGAATATTACATATTTCCCTTCTCATCCAGATTCTAATGTCACCTTAAATTAATCTTGCTTTAAAACTTACTATTAAACTTCAAAATTAAAACTAAAATTCTCTGCATCTTGTCAGATGAAGCACAAACTAGTGCATTTAGGCATGTCTCTCTTAACTGCTTGAAGATATTCCCTGTTTTCATAATCTGAGACTTTGTATTAGGACATGTCAGTAGTTTAAATTTCTCCCACATGATCAAGAACAGGAGCTATCCAGAGAGGATGACCAGAAATTTTAGCCCTAGAAAGGGTCCATCAGGAACCTCAGCAAGCCCAGCAAAGGCAAATGCCAGAGCAGAGACCAGGCTGGAGGCAGGCTCTTCTCAGAGGCTATACACGGGGCAGTGGGCACAAGGTGGAAGAAGAGAAATGTCAGCTGGCTACCAGGAAAAAACGTGTTTTCCATGAGAGTGATCCAACAATGGAGCCCAACAAGACTGTGGAATATCTGTCCTGGGATATGAAAACCTTGGTCCCGAGCAACCTGATCCAGCAGGAGTTGGAGGAGGTGCCTCCAGAGGTCCCAGCTCCAGAGCTCCTTCCTGGCCTCTGTTTTTCTGCAGATCTATGACTCATTAGGAAAACCCCATGGTCTATTGGTAGAGAAACCTGAAAAACTACAGTAACTCCTTTAGTCTGGCTCTCAATTCACCTGTTTGGTGCTTTCCATAGCCAGGTTCACCATGCCCCAGTGCATGTCCTTTCTTTCTGCATGTCCAACATTTAAGACCCAATTACTGCCCGGTCAAACACCTCTTCATGCTCTGCTTGGCCAGGTGGAGTGACCTGGAAACCATCTCTCTTCCTTTGACTCCAGCTGCCAGGCAGGCACCAAAATCCTAATGAGATGTTTCACCAAACCCACAGGTGGAGCCCCCAGCAGTGTTAGTCCCTAATCCTCTGGGCTAGGAAGCTTTGATGTCACCCAGCCCAGTCATCCTCAGTGGGGCAGTGAGGGAGGCTGATCGCCCAGTGGCTGAGCCCCAACCCTGGCACACCTCCAGGCCCAGGGCAAGCCCTCAGCACCAGCATCCCAAGGTCCACCACCATGCTCCTGGCTGCAGGGAACCTGCCTGACCATGGGCGCAAACCTGGGATTGCTGGGTGGGCACACAGAAGCCAAGCTGTGGTCATTGGGTCTGAACTAGGCCCTGGATGCAGCCCTGGGCACGCAGGGGAGGAAGGGGAAGGCTCTCAGCCTGCTGCAGGCGTAATGAGCTGATTTTTTCTCCCATGTCTCCAGCACTTGGCTTCCAGCCCCGAAAGGAAGAACACCATGCCAAGAATTTCCACGGCTGTGTCCAACAGAGCAAGCTGACACCTGATTTGCTGTTAATTATAGCGGTGGGAATAGGTCCAGGGGCAAATGTGAAAGGGTGACAACCGGGTGGCGATAAGGACAAGACTCATCTGTCGTTCGTCATAAGGGCTTGTCAGGAGGGTTTTGTTTTCTGTGGAAAACCAGTAGGAAGACTTCCAGCACGCAGAGAAGCAGCTGGCAGGACAGGATCTGTAGGAACCCTGCCTTCCCCTCTGGCTGTCTTCCCCCCAGCACCTCAGACCGGAGGGGGCTGTGTTGTTCCCTACACCCCCGTCCCAGCCCCTCAGCGTGGTTTGCGTGCCGGCGTGCCACCAGGCGCCAGCAGCCACAAAATTCCTTCAAGAAGGGAGGTAAAAATAGACCTTGAATTATTCCAGACCTTTTGTCCAGCCTATCTGTGGGCAAAATAATCCCCATTCCCTTGTGAGGCCTGAGCAACTCCAGCCATTCCCAGCACCACCGAACTCCCACCAAACCAGGAGACCCTGCCCTTGCAGCCTCTGTTCTGCTCCTCTTTGCATAATTTGCTATTCAAAAATGCTTCTGCTCCAAGGGGGAGCACCCAAAACCTGTAGATAGCTCCTGTTGAGGTTGTTAACAGGGGATTTTTAGGTGCAACCAGGCTTTTGTGATTCAGTGGCTTTCAGCTGTTGCCCCAATGGTGTGCTGTGTGTCCTTGCTTTAAACATGGGAAAGGGACAGAGAAAAAGATATAGAATTAAAAATATTTTCTTATTTTAATTTAATATTTTATTTTGTTCCAGCATTGAACCATGTGGAGTTGAACAATGGCTGTGTGAGAATATCATAAGCAGATAGAACCCAGTTTCTTATTTTAATTTAATTTAATATTGTATTTTGTTCCAGCATTGAACCATGTGGAGTTGAACAATGGCTGTGTGAGCACAGCATAGGCAGGGAGAACCCTGTTTCTTAAACTAAACTAAACGAAAATGAAATTAAATGTGGATTTTTATAATTTTTTTAACAATTGGGAAGGATTTCAGAAGAAGGCAGTCACAGCTTTCTGCACCTCATGTTGAAGCCCTGGGGTACCACAGACCTGTGCCACAGGGATATTTTTTAATGATGCCCTTTGAAACCTTTTATCTGTTTGCTGCTATTAAACTCGTTAATGCTTCACGTCCTGCCCGGCCGATGCCCGAGCACGGATTGTTTGAACTCGGCTGCTCCCCAGCCCGCAGGGACAATTGGACGGGGAAGAGGGAGTGGGAGCGATGGTGATGAGCCTCCGCTTGTTTGGGAAATACTGCAAACGGGTGTTGGTCAGGAAACAAAGCTCCGGAGCAGCCGGGAATGTGCCGGGCAGCTGCTGCACTCGCTGGACAAACAGGAGCCGGAAGGGCTCAGGTGCAACCGTGCCCCACCCAAGGGGGCCCAGAGGTGGCCTCTGACTGCTGCCAGTCACTCACTGTCCCTTCCGGCCAAAATTCACATTTAAAAAAGACAAAATGCAAAGAAAAATTACAACACGTAACTATATATATTATACAGGTTTTATAGACTGTGTAAATACATACATCCGTAATGTAAACGTATATAGATAAAATATATATAAATCTTTAAGTATTAAAGATTTATATTATATACACACACATCCTCGGGGATCTCTGTGTGTATCATGTCTACTTTGCTGGATGCCTGGATGCACCTGGAATTATATGTATATTATATAAATTCCTGAATTTATATTGTAGATAAAGTTGTAAATATATATTTATATAATACAGAAAAAATATCCTATGTGTATAATACACATAAGATATAGAAATCACATATACACATTACTACATATATGCATATCACTACATATTTATTATTACATACATGTTGCAATATTATATATTGTATATTTGTATTATGTACTGATATCATATGTAAATTATACATACATCTCTATTTATAGTATATATTACTATTAAATATATATAATTAAGAAAGAAATGGCCATAAAGCAGCTGTGTTACCATTTATCTCACTTGAACAACAACAAAGATTTTTCTATTCTTCCCTAGTCAATAAATTAAAATGTTCACACCTTGGCTTTCCAGTTGCCTCCCAGCCATATTTTCTTGGCATCTGCACTGTCTTTTCCCCATAAACACACAGATTTCCTTTATCTGTTGACCCTTCTCAGCTCAAACAAATCAGTTCATTGGCAATAAATGAAGTGGCTGAAAAACAAAGGAGAGAGGGAAAATAAATGTCCTCAGTGGGAAAATTAGTAAAGAGAGCTAAGGAAGAAATAAATGAGTGAGAATGAAAAGGTGATGCTGGGTCTTCACAAGGGCTTTTCCACCTCCCCTTGTCACCACCCACCTGCAAGCCAGGAATGAGCCCATCCAAAAGCCAACTTTCCCAGCCAAAAACTGCCAATGCTGAGCGAAAACTGGGATGGGAGAAAGGCTGGACGAAGGCAGCGGACAAGACCAATACTTTTGGCAGCATCTTGCACTGGTGTAAGCTTTTCAGTCGCTGAGACCAAAAGAAATCACTACTAGAGTATTTATATATTTTATTTACGAGGCATATTTATGAGGCAGTTTATACATGAGGCACAAAACCAGGCAGTGGCTTGGGTTTGGTGCCTCTGTCCCGCTGTTCCTTTGTGATGCAGCCCCAGGTTCCTGGAAGATGCTGAACCCCCTGGCTGAGATGGTGACATCAGGCACTGGGGGAGCAAAAGGTTCTTTTCCATTTGGGGCATTTAGACCTCTCTTTGGCATTTCTGTGTCTACTTAACCTGAAATGTTGGTGCAGGTGGATGGGCTCCAGTGGCACCAGGAGCTGCAGAGCAGCTTGCCTGTGTGCTGCGAGATAAACCTCTCCTGAGTTTAACCCAGCTCAAGAGCTTTACCAGACTTTGCTGGCTTTGGACAGATTGGCTCTGGTTACCTCCTCAGTGACACTGACTGACACCACCAGTGCTCAGTATTGACTGTTCCCTTCCTTCCATAAAATGCAGGGAAGGAAGGAGCGTTATCCCCTGGTTCCAACGCAGCGAGACAGGTAACTGGAATTTAGTTTTATTGCTGGCAGATAAAAAGTTATCTCTGCTTATTACCCTGAAAGTCATGCCTATAATTATCCTTTCAAAGGACAAAAGTTGGCCCAGCCCTATCCAGAGATTACCTAGTTTGTGTTTGGCTTGCAGGTATTGGATGTGGCATCACAGCAGAGCTGTGCAGTAGGAAGAGAGCAACAGGTTTAAATTAAAGCATTTTAATTAACAGTGGAAGGACAGGAGTGGGGCTGATCTTGCATTTAAGACAACAGCAACCTGCCATCAATGTTTAGAGAAAAGGATTAGGATTTTGCTGAAGTTCTGGAGTGAATCCAGGACTTTTTTCCTGGTGGATCCAGGGTATTAAGAGGAGCCTCTTCCCTGATGTCAAGAAGGCAGCATGCAGTGAGCCCTGTACTGTCCGGTGGTACAAAATGAAAAGGGATGCTCCCAGTGGATTGGGATGTAAAATTCACAGGGTCTTTGCATTTTTGGTTTTCTTAAAAGCCAAGGAACAGACAGATGCAGAGGTGAGCCATCCCACCCCCGAATGGACTGGCTCATCCTGGTGGTTACCTGGTTTATCCCAGAGAACTTACATGGAGCTTCAGCCAGGAGGGATGAAGACCACCCTGCCCATCCCAGGCAAGGCTGCACCCATCCGCCTTTTGAGACTGGAATTCAGCAGCACCCTGCCAATCCCCACATCCCTGTCCTCATGGCAACAGGGCACTGCTCTGTTTGACTGGCCTGCAGTTTGACTCCACGTGGGTGTGAGGATTCGGGGATGCGTTACGTACGATTTTATACACAAGCACGTATCGCAAGGCCATACAGAGCTGATTTAAAGACCAAAGAGAAAGCAAAAACCAGGGTGGTGATTTGCCTGCTGGGAGCTGGGAGGTATTTATGGCAGGCAGGGTCACCGGGGTTTCCACCATAACTGGGTGTCACCACAGTGCACACGGAAGACCAAGCACTGCTGGGAAGTGTCTGCAGGAAAAAACAGGGAAAATAGTCGGCCAAGACAGAAATCAGAGCCCAGCTGAGGAGCAATGCCTGCCCTCTGGCACCTGCGCGCTTCCCAGGGCCCCGGCACCTCCCCAGACCTGAACGTGGCCATGAACCTGGGGTGGAATGCCATGGGTGGAGATGCTTTAACTCACGGTACACTCCACAAATCAGAAATACTTAACAGAATCACAGAACCGATTAGGCTGGAAAAGTCCTCTGGGATCATCGTGTCCAGCCTATGACCGAGCACCGGGTCAGTCAGACCGGGGCACCGAGTGAAACCTCCAGTCTTCCCTGAAACACCTCTGTGGGCAGTGACTCCACCGCCGCCCCGGGCAGCCCATTCCAATGCCAAACCACCCTGCCCGTGAAGAAATCCTTCTTACTGCCCAACCCAAACCTCCTCTGGCCAGGTCCCTCCGGGGCAGACAGCGGCAGGATGAGAGGAGGCCGAGTCCCACCTGGCTACGGCCGCCAGCCCGGGAGCCGTGGGGCGAGAGGGCCGCCCCGAGCCCCTTTTCGGGGCCGCCGCTCCCGCCCCGCTTCCCGCGGCCGCCGCTCGGGCCCGGGGGGCGGCTCCGGGCCCC